TAACGACGTGAGTATGCATTGAAGTCTATATTAAGTATTTAAGTATATTAAAATACTCTTCACTATGAAAACAAAACTAACTAGTAACTAGTAAGTAAAACTAACTAATGAGCTAAAGCCGGTATAAAAAAAAATCAGAGAACTAACAACATTGCTCAGTTAAGACAGATATCCGTTTATGAGACAGACTCTCTTGAACAGAATTTTCTTTTATCTTCATAAATTATAATTAAATTAACAATGTTAGAAACATTAAAGTTGAGAAATATTTAAATTTAATTTTTACATCACAATTGCACTGAATTTTATGGATCATAAATATGAGCGGCATTTCAAAAGCATCTTTAGTATTTTAGTATGAGATACAAATGCTATAATTGTTGTTGAAACAATTGATTTATTGTTCGTTAACTGATAATGTTGCAAACTCACGATCCGAACTTAGTCATGCTGAAAATGATGTTAACCTGATGTTAACTATATATACTGAAATAAATACATGAAATAATTATTATCAGATATTTGAATGAAATTATTGAGTGCCATTAGGCGGTCACTAACACGATTCGTAAGGCGTTTCTAGTTGTTAATTAGAATTCAAATTACATTATTTAAATTAAATATTCTAAAAATGTAAGCAATTTTTATAGACTTTACTTATAGAAGATTAGTTTAAAAATGCAAGAATAAAAAAATTGAAACTGTGAAGTTTCTTTTTTATGCTAATTTTCACAAGCATTTGATTTATGTTGTGAGCTATAAAAAGATATATCTTTAAATTATTCAGAAATAGCAGAAATTGTTTCCTAGAGTAGAAAATAATGTGAAAAAATATAATTTAATTATTATTAGTAATGCAATTAATAATTAATTTAATTAAATGCATAAAATAAATTAAGTCGAAGGAAAGTCAAAGCAACGAAAATTAGCTAATACAATAATAATTTTCAAAAATAATAATAAAAATATGAGAATGGGAAGTAGAGTAGAAGAGACAAGGGTGAATGACCAAGAAACACCAGAACAATATAGTACGGTTTTGAGTTAAGCCAAGCTAATTTAAATGAAAAAAGAATTTTTACTATTTATATCTTTATTTTTATATACTTATTTATATATTTATTTATATTTATTTATTTATACTTATACTTTATTTGTACTTATATAAAATTCGTTATGTTAACAGCGTAGTTAATAACGTAAATAATTACGTCTGTCTTATTTTGTCATTAAAATAATTAATAATATGTAATGAAAATTAATTAATTAGACTTATGTTTTTTAATCATTTTTTAAAATTAATTTAAAAAACTTTTTTATCGCAGTCATGCTTATAATAATTTTTAATTATTTTGGCAAAATAATAAAATAAAAAATCTATGAAATAGATAGTTGAGTCCAAAGATTTTTGCAAAATCATTTCAAGACTTGTTATTTGGTTTTTAATAAGGTTTTGGCAATATTTAATATAGAAATCTTCGCAGTTTTGCAAATTTTAATTTTGTATATATTTAAGATATATATTTGTAAATTTGTAAATATTTAAAACGAGTTCTATTTAATTTTTTTTTTTTGTATGTTTATTAGAACTTTTCTTACGCATTGAATTTTTCGATCTTTGAGAATTGCTTCTTAAAGATACAAATAATATACAAATAGAATCAAAAAATTTCTACAAATTTTGTTTTTTTCTATCCAAATTAGCATAATAAAATCTTAAAAAATAAATATTGTTGCGAAAAAGTTTATTGAACTTAAAATAAAATAGAACAAAAAATTATGTTAATTATGTTAAAAGTGATAAATTTTTTTTATCTATTTTTTGTGTATAAAATGTATTTAATTTGTGTTAAGCATTTTGTTTCATTATTTTTTTTTAATTTTTACCAATTCAAGAATGAAATTTAAATGAAATTGATTTTAAATAATTTATAGAAAAATATAATTTATATTATATGTCATTTTATATATAATATGCTCTAGTGAACTAAAAACATATATAATGAAATTAAATATAAGGGAAGATATACTATTTGACTGAAATCTTTTATCATTATAAAGAGTGATATATATATCTGAAGACTAACAGCCGAAACTATTGTTGAGAAACTTCTCAAATTTTTCAATCAACAATGAATAGTAGCGTACACAAAAGCATTATTTTTGGCTTCAAACTCCATCTAAAATATATCGGACTATTTATTCTAGATATAATGGATTTTTTTAATTAAATCTTTGTATACACTCCTCCTAACGAAGATGTACTATTTAACTGTCTTAACTCACATTGCCAAATGAATCTTTCAATTCGTTATATTCCACTTCCACATACTTGTAAAATGTAAAACCTCAACTGCTTTAAAAAAAATATATATACTTACGATTAAAAGCCTTCCACCTAACTGTTTACAAGTCTTCCAGGACTTATTCATACTCAACCTAAAGACTACTTATCAGTTATGTCGCAAGCTTAATTGACGGCAATGGCAGGCACTACAGCTTTTTGGCACCTGTCGATTATACTATTTAAAACGTTATCCAGTTAATGCACTTTACCTGAGTTTTTACTATATATACGGTAACACAATGGGCCAATGAGCCTAAGTTGATCCGCTAGGGATCGCCAGTATAACCTAACCTAACCTAATGCACTTTAAATTTTTATTGAGCTTTATATGCAACAGAATGATTTCAAAAATCAGTTTAGTATCCAGACCGAAAGAACTGCTTGAGCTGAACTGTAGAAATAGGGAATCTTAAGCAAACCGTGAGTACTACAAAGACTTGCGTTTTATGGGTTTAATTCTGCGCGGAGCATGAACCTTACACAATACATATTCTGTGATTTACAATTTTTTAAAGAAAATAATGAGAAATAATTTTAAAAATACAATTAGAGTATTAAGTCATCTATAAAAACGCCAATATTTAATCTTAGATTCTTGAAGGAGTAAGTAATAAATATTCCTAAAGGCTCATAAAAAATAGCCCTAAAAAATTAAAAAAATTATTTTCTTTGTATACATATATTATAATTTAATATATTTATAATTAATATGACTAAACAATTTTTTTTTAATACCAGTTAATATTATTAATAATTTAATCAATTTTATTCAATAATTTTTCATTGAACTTGAACTTTATTAGTGTGAGAAAAAACATTCACTAAAAATGTTAATAAAGTGCATTAATCTGTTTTATATTATGTTAATTTATTATTGATATTTCCACTATTTTTTGTTTAAACATTAAAAATATAAAAAATTAATTTGTCTTCAAAATTCAAACATCAAACCGAAAAAGCTGAAGCAAAGTTCAATGCACTCTTTTTTCTTGTAATTTTTTACAAAGATTGACTTCATTTCATATTCAAAAAACCAGTTAAATGTAAATAAAAGATATATTCAAATTTTTTTAGTAATGACGTTTTGACTTGAGAGTTTATTCAAAATTAGGTCAAGAGCAGACCAAATGCAGATGTTTAAGTTGATTTTGTGAATGCATCAAAAACTGCAGCAATGAACTACATTTTTTAAATTTTTTATACTTTGATGTTTTTATTATTTAAATTAATAAATTTTCAAATAAATTTATTGTTAATCGAATAACTTTAACATAATGGAACTTTTTATAAAATTTTATTTGTGTGATATTCACTTTAAAATCTAATTTGTAGCTTTCAAAGAGTAAATATAATAGTGCCTATCACTTATTATAATTCTATTGAGACCGCAATCATTACATATGATAAGAGTATTATCTGAAAAATATATTTTTTTGATTATTTCAAATCTATACAAAAGATACAGTATATATTTACTTCGATATATAATAATAAAAAATGAATAAATCAAATATTTCAAGTATTTTTTGGCTCTACTCAATACAAAGTAATTAATTATGTATTAAAAAAATTACACTGCATATGTGTGTGTATATTATTGTACGGTTGCATTGATTGCAATTTATACAAATTATTAAATTAACGCCTATTAAGGTTCAATTTGGTTTAGAGACCTATTTGTACATACATTAATATAAAAAATACAAAGCCCAGCTAGCGTTATTAAAAGATTTAAAAAATCACACATAGAATAGAAAATAATTAGAATTAGTGCTACCAAACTGCACGATGTCTCAATCAAAGCTAAGAAAAAAAAAACAAATGCACTAAAAACACGAAACATCACTAAAAAAATGTTTATAGAATATATATATATCTATATTCTATAATATCTATATAATACATAATTCTATAATCCATAATATATATAGTATATATAGTATATATATTCTATATTCTATTTAAATTATTTATAAACATATTTAACCATGAACTTTAATTTCAATATGTTCTATATTACCTATCGGTTTAATAGACACCATGCTACTCACAAAAAATATATAATATATTTTAACTCTTTCAAGATATCTTATTTTTCAAAAAAATTAATATAGTGAAAAACGTGTTCTATATATCTTTTCAGCCTGGACATCGTGTACCACGTTACTCATTAGTAAATTGGGGCATTTGTGTACCGTCCTCATGTACCTACAAAGACGTAGAATACAGTGTTAAGGAATATCTAAATAACATGACCGAATCTACCGGCATATCGTTTCAAGTGCGCGTAGAACCCAAAATGTGTCAATCAAACCACAATAAACCTTGGGATCGTAACACTACCGTAGCTGTGTAAGTAGAATGCTTTAGAATACTTTATGCAATATGAGAATGACGTATAAGGAAAACAAACAGTAGATTATTTAAATAATTTTATTGTAAAATATTTAATAAATCATATAATATTTCATAACCACTACTTTAAGCTTATGCTCATTTGACATAAACAACAGTTTTTCAGTATTCGAGTGGGCGAATGCAAAAAATATGTAAATTCAATAATAAATTTAATAAATAATATTTTTTTTATATATTCAATTAAACAATTAGCATAATAATCTTTCTTTGAGGCATAAATAGTTGATATTTTTATTGTAACCAATTTAAAGCGATTTTAAAGATTTATATCTAAATTTATCTATTATATCTATCTATATATAATATGCACCTACCAGCCCCCTATCACTTTTGCTCATAATACCTCATAATGCTCATAATAATAATAAATTAATTGCACATATAAACAAAAAAATAATTATATACATTTGTTATATTCACATATACACACAAGTATATGTACATAAATTAAAAATAAATTTTATTAAAATATATTTTTAACTTATATTCATATAGGCGTTTCTTCCTTATCATACTGTCTATAGCTGCATTGTCAACAATTTACGAACGCTGCACAAAAAATCAAAAACAGAGTAAGATTTAATTCAGTTTTAAAAGATACAAAAACATTTGACTTAAAAAAATATTTTCCAGATGAATGGTTTACTGCATTTTCATTGGACAAGAATTTACGTTGGCTATTTAAAACAAGCTCATCTCCCGATGACATACAAGCTGTACATGGCATACGTTTCCTTAATGCGGCTATGTTATTATTCTCACACAAATCAATGGCCATGTTCTTCAATCCTTACAACAATCGTACTGACATGTCTGAGGTATAACAAGGAAAATCAACTATTTTCATAACTATTTTCTTAAAACATTAATATTTTTATTTGTAGAGTTTGGGTCGACCATGGACGGTCATTGGTCGCGCTGCATCCCTTTACACCGATCCATTTTTATTATTTAGTGGCATGTTAACTGCTTACTCATTATTCGGTCGTTTAAATAAAGGACAACCAATACGCCTAAAAAATGAATATATCAGCCGATTAATGCGGTACGTAACAACTCCGAAAAAATTGTATATGGAAGTTATAACATTATAGTTGGCCAATAGGCATAAGTGGATCCCCTAGGGATCGTCGATATCATCTCGTGGGTCATTCAAACTATATAAATTTCGAAAACATTCAATATAATTCCTAATTAGGTGTACAATTTATCTGCCCTGAAATTTTTTTATTTGCAGAAATCTAGAATATATAATATAGATCGTTACCTACTCTTAAATTGGTCTCAAGTACAGTGGTGGAGCCACGGGTGTAATAAAAGTTATAAATGATAGATTTCAAAATGTGTTGAAAATACAAAATCGTGGTTGTTAAAGTCAAGATTATCTTTTATCCGATAGTTATAATTGAGTGAGATATTAGGGTTTATTTTCTTTTCTTTTTATTGATCTATCAAATATAGATAGATATAGACTCTTACTCTATGTCGTTTCACTGTTTTTGCTAACGTTAAAATTCTAACAAAATAAAGCCGACCCCGTTTATACGGTGAAATTTACTGAACTAATGATATATATATAAGTACATTATATGATCTTTAATAAATTCTTAAACGCTTCAATAAAATATACATACTTCTTAATTAGCTTTATTATAAATGAGTATTGGGCTATCAGTCAGATTTTGTAATTTGGTTTAATAAAAAATTTTTCTTATTATTTTACTTATTTAATATTTATTTCCGACGTTTCGGTTTTTTAAAACCATCATCAGGGAAAAAATTTTAAAACAACTGAATAGAATAAAATTTTTATATAAAAAATATTTTTGACAAATGTTTTAAATAATTACAACGGAGAAAATACAATCAGTTTATCTTAAGAATGATTTTTTCTAGCAATGCACAGTAAACAACAGAAATATTTTCTATATCTCGCCGCAAATTATATGTGGGTTTAGTCATTATATGTAAGGACTCTAGGGTAAGACGTCGAGACAAGGAAGGTTCAGTATCAATGACTTTCACTGAAGTAAAATCTGGGTAATGATTTACATCAAGAAAGTGTGAGACTAAAGCTGATTGTTTATCCGGATTAATTTGTTTTAGACTATTTTTATGTTGACTTATTCTTTTATGTAATTGATTTTTTGTTTGGCCAATATAGCAGAGTTCACATTTTTGACCATTATTATCAGTTCCAGTGCATGGAATTTCATAGATGCAATTAATAATGTTGTTCGTTTCAATACGATCTTTCAGTTTGGTATATATAGTTGATTGAATTTGTGCAAATGGTTTAAAGGATATTCTTAAATTGTCTACTTTCCTTTCGATAATCTTAGCAATTTTAACTGATAGGTCATTTATATATATCATCGATCTTCTAATCATAGGAATTTGTATACTCTGCTCATGGTGATTAGTTCTTGAAAGTTGAAAATGTTGACGTACTCGATGTAGTTGACTAACAATCATTTTGCGAGGATAGTTATTATCAGACAAAATGTTGAAAGCTTTATTAATGTTAGTAACGTAAAATTCTTTGTCACTTATAGAAAAAATGCGGAAAAAAAGGTTGTAAATCACATTCATTTTTTGTTGTCGTGGGTGGTGTGATAAATAGTTAAGAATTTTACCTGAGAATACATCTTTCTGGTACCAGTCAATTGCTAGTTCTCGATTATTTTTCTTAGATATTAATAAATCTAGGTAGGGAAGTTTTCCATTAAATTCATGTTCAACAGTGAATTGTATGCGATTGTGAAATGAATTTAATAATTGTAGAAATTCAAGGATTTTATCTTTTGATCCAATGGTGAAAATATCGTCAACATATTTTAAAACAATTCTAGGTTTAAATGATAATTTGGGAATTGTCACATCAAAGATTTCATTTGTAACAATGTTGGCGATGGTAGGTGAAATATTTGAGCCCATAGCACATCCATTAATTTGTTTGTATATATCTCTTTTAATAAAAAATTTTTCTTATTATTTTACTTATTTAATATTTATTTCCGACGTTTCGGTTTTTTAAAACCATCATCAGGGAAAAAATTTTAAAACAACTGAATAGAATAAAATTTTTATTGTATGCGATTGTGAAATGAATTTAATAATTGTAGAAATTCAAGGATTTTATCTTTTGACCCAATGGTGAGATATAGAAAATATTTCTGTTGTTTACTGTGCATTGCTAGAAAAATCATTCTTAAGATAAACTGATTGTATTTTCTCCGTTGTAATTATTTAAAACATTTGTCAAAAATATTTTTTATATAAAAATTTTATTCTATTCAGTTGTTTTAAAATTTTTTCCCTGATGATGGTTTTAAAAAACCGAAACGTCGGAAATAAATATTAAATAAGTAAAATAATAAGAAAAATTTTTTATTAAACCAAATTACAAAATCTGACTGATAGCCCAATACTCATTTATAATAAAGCTAATTAAAAAAAAGTCAGCATATATGAAATGGATACTTCTTAATGATTTATTGATTATTATTACAGAATCGTGCCACCACTCGCTGCCTTAATACTTTTCTGTACTTACATTTTGCCAATGTGGGGTTCAGGACCTCAGTGGAATCTGGTTGTTGGACATCATGCAGATATATGCAAGAAAAACTGGTGGCGCAACTTGCTTTTTATACATAACTATTTTGGTTTCAGTGAAATGGTAAATAAGCCAAAAATTTCTCTATTTAAATAGCTTCACGAAGAAAATCTACATTTCAGTGCTTAACACACACACATCATCTCGGTATCGATACAGAATTATTTGCGGTTGCACCACTTATGATACTTGGTTTATGGAAATGGCCACGAAAGGGCCTTATTACTTTAATATTATTGGGTGCTATTGGTACCGGTGCACGTTATTACACAACCATTGTAAATCAATTGTCTAACTACATATACTTTGGCACCAAGTAAGTTATTTGAGATAGTTGTATTAATTACAAGAATTCAACTTGAACTCTGTTATAATTTTAGCATACAACGTCTCTTCCGTACTGCTGACTATATGTATTCTTTCCCACCACATCGTTCAACAGTCTATATTATGGGCATTTTATTGGGTTATGCCTTACGTAAATTCAAAAATGTCACACTTACAAAAACGCAGCTACGTGTCGGTTGGATTGTAGCCACTTTATGTGTGTTAGCATCAGTGTTGGGTCCAGCACCTATGGGTCATATTGACTATACATACAATTCCACACATGCAGCAATCTATGCCGCCTTTGCGCCTATAGCCTGGTGTATATTTTTCTCTTGGATTGTATTTGTGTCGCACAATGGTCATACAAGTAAGTGACAAAACTGGACACATAAAAACTGGATTTTTTAAATTTATTTAAATTATATTTTTTAGATAAACTCACAAATATGTTGTCCTGGAGTGGTTTCCAGGTATCTACTAAGCTTTCATATGCCATCTACCTTACACAATTTCCAGTATTCTTTTTTAATGTGGGCAGACGCCGTCATATACATCACTACTACAATTTTGTTTCAATAATTGTAAGCTCATTTTGAACTATATTTTTCTCCAGTAATTATGGAAATATTTTTAATTATTATTTATTTTTAGCTTGACACAAATGAATTTATTTCCATATTCCTGGCGTCTGTGGCGTTGACTATCTTATTTGATGCGCCCTTCCAAAACATAAAAAAACTGCTACTGAAGCGTTCCCCAACAACCAAAGCACAAGTCAGACCCGCAACTTCAACTGAAACAAGTCAAAACTGTGATTTGAACTCAAACAATGCACAAGTACTAACGACGTCGACTCCAGCGCAAGCGTCTACGCTGAATTCAACGCCGACGTCGGCATCAGCGCTAGCGTCAAAGCACGAGCACGCTGATTAGTTGGTAGTTGATTTCTTAGGTTAAATACTCTTGTAAAATAATTTAAATTTTATTCTTAAGTTAGCCCTTAGTTTATAAAGAAATTAGTGCAAGTTAGTCTGTAAGAGTCTGCCTCCTCCTCTACCCTCCATTGTATACCACAACTAGGCTAGTATATATTTTGCAAAATATCTTTCGAAATGGATTTAATCTTCTTTGACACTTCATGCTTTTGTATATTTTTTTATATTTTCCTATTTATGTTAAGTAATTAAAGAGAATTTAAATTTTATTTCACAATGAAAAGATATTTATATATTATCACATATTAATTTATACAAACAAAATCGAATAAACAATCTTAAAATAAACAAATTTTTTTATTAATGCACTAATACCCCGATTTTCGTCACCCTGATTTGTGTTCGAATTCGAATTGCATCGAATTGGCTTCGAATTGCATCGGTAGTGTTTCGATTTGCGTCATTTCCTCATACATGCGTAAAGAGGGGACTACCATTTTATTTCTTATTAGGGCTTTACTTAAAAGAAGTCAGTTTACATTAGAGTAGTGAAGTGGAAAGGTAAACAAATTTCCTTGGAACAAAAGTTAGGCATTATAAAACGTTTTAAACTTGGAGAAAAACCTGTAGACATTGGGAGAATTCTAGGTTTAGCTCCAACTACTGTGAGAACAATTTGTAATCGCGATTGCGGACAAGATAAAAGACTATGGAAAAGCTGCCACACTTTTGCAGGCCAAACAAGTTACAAAAAATAGAAGTCCATTAATTGTTAAAATAGAGTCCCTTCTATCCATTTGGATTGAAAATCAAAATCAAAGAAGAATGCCATTGAGCCAAAAGTTAATTCAGAATAAGGCTCTGTCGATATTCCATAACTTAAAAGCTAATGCTCCGTCAACAAGTGGCCAAAAATCAGAAGAATTTGAAGCAAGCAGAGGTTGGTTCAGCCCTTTCAAAATGCGAGCATATTTACATAATATCGCATTTAAAGCAGAAGCGGCTAGTGCAGATATTCTAGCAGCAAAAATACTTTAAAGAAGATTTAAAATGTATAATGGATGAAGGCGGCTACTCTCCCAAACAAGTTTTAAATGTCGATGAAACGGAACTATTTTGGAAGCGTTACCCAGGATTTAAGATTAGTAAAGAGCGACTTACTCTGCTTCTGGGTGGAAACGCTGAAGGCGACTTTAAGTTTAAGCCTCTACTTGTTTATCACTCCGAGAACCCCAGGATGACAGCAACTTTATTTAAAGACTGGATAGTTCCGGAATTAAAGGCTTATAGTTCTACTGCAAATATCGAATTCAAAATGGTCCAAGGAGTTATATCTAATTTTAAATGCTATTATCTTCGGCGAGCATTTAATCAACTACTTAATGCTACAGACGGATACCATAAGCCGTCAATGGAGTTGTGGAAAAATTATTCCATACAAATGGCTATTGAAAATATAGACCAATCCTGGAAGGAGGTAAAAAAAACATGTATGAACGGGATGTGGGGACAAATATGGCCTGAGTGCATCCAGATAAATATGCCAGAAATTAATGAGGTGTCTAACATTTGTGTAAGTCTTGCTGAGCATGCTAGAATAGTAGAAGTTGATGGAATGGAAGATGACATTATCGAGGTATTGGTGGCAAATGAAGACCTGATTTCTATTGATGTGGAATATACATTACAAGACGAAACACCTATCCAAGATAATGAAGCACAAGACAAAAATCTGAAGACTGCACAAATATCAGAAGCTATGCAACTTATCTCAAAAGCCATGGATATTTTTACGGATAACGATCCAGACGAGAGTTGTAGCAGTAATGCCAAACTTGCTATAGAAACTGCTATTAACTGTTATAAGGAAATTTATTTACAAAGAAAATCTATTGAAGTTCAACAAAAAGGAAACAATTTTTTTCAAGAAACTAGAGAGCCATTAAATCAGAGACATATTGTAACGATTGTTTTAGACTAAAACATAAACATTTAAACATTATGTTTATTGCATGTATATTAGTTTTTTTTTTTATATTTTATAAAACAAATATATGTACATATAAGCAAATATGTTTATTTAAAATTGAAATTCAATATTTTCCTAAGAATTATTTTTGGAAGCAAATTAAATATGTGAAGAAATGTGATTATATTTGTGTCGCATTTTGTAAGTCCCAATTCACGATGCAAAATAGGGTACTAGTGTACCAGATATGTTTCGTGAACTACGCAATGTGGAAATATTTTAAGGATTTACAATTTTGGTTGCTGCAAAAGTAAAAATAGGGACATTTTCTTCGCAATACCGAGGTCTTACTAAATAAAGACATTCTACGATGGAAATCTGCAAACTAATATACTTTCAAGATTTCATGACATTTTTTTGAATAACATCAGAGTTACCATGACAGTCTATTAGGATATCAGTTCAGTTCTTAGTCTTCTACATTTATAAAATGTTTTCCGTTTATCTGCAAATCCATGTTTCCGAAAATGGAAAACCCAAGTCAGGTGAATATTATGAACGGTTTGCAATTAAACATGCGTAGGTGTCATACATATACCGCCCTAGATTTAAATTATTTTAAAACAGGTATAAATAAAATATTTAGTCAAACAATAGTTTTCAACCTGACTGCTACTTTGTTTTGAACTAAGACAGGTGGTTCCTTAGTTGGTCAAGGAATTTTTGGAATATTGAGAAGCATATTCTAAAATTCCTTTTTTTACATGCAATTATTAGAAAACAGATGTTGCTATTTATTTTAATATATTATCTATATAATTATTACAATTTTTGCCAAGTAATAGTTATAGTGAATAAAGATACTGATTCTATACATTCATAATAAAAAACTGAAATTTTCTCCTGAATTATTTATTTAGGTTTTCTTGTTTAATAATTTTTTTACAAAAAAAAATAATGCATTTTAAACTCACATTAAACCTCTTAGAAGTTGTTCAACGTTAAACGATCAATACATTTATTTAGTTTGAACAGACTTCTTGGGTTTAGCTTGTGTACCTTCACGGAAACCGTTACGGAAACGTCTGCGAACAATCTTCAAGTGACGCATGCGGCCGGTACCAGTGGTCTTTCTCCTCTTGGACTTTACGGACCAGTTAACTGCAAAATAAAAATGTAATTAGTATTGAAAATTAAAATCATAACATTGAAATCTTAAAATTAGTACCAACGCACAAACTTTCAAATATAAACAATAATTCGCTATATCTTTTTTTACATTTTTACGCTATTTAAAGAAACTATGTAGATCTTTTCTTGAGTCTGAATTTGATATTTAAGCCACTTATAAGAAATGGATTCATTTCTTAATATTTGAAGTATGAAATAATTTTATATTTATAAAATATAAATATAATTTTGTAATTATGAAAAATTCTTAAACCGATTTAAATAATCAATAATAATAATGAGACCAAATGAGAAACTTACATGAACGCATCTTGGCTGCGGGATATCCACATTGTGCACAAGTTGACTTTTGGATGTGGTATGAAGAACGACCGCAACGACGGCACAAAGTGTGCGTCTTATTATGGCGTTTACCAAAGCTTGATGTACCTTTCGTCTACAAAAATATGTGTTTATAAGTATTAATAATGTATTTTATTTATACAGCCGAAGTGAATATTATCAACCATCACATTTTATTATATGGATTTAACACTTTGTATAGTAAGAAGCGGCTGACAACGCTCCTCTCTAATTATATTTACAAATATCGAGAGTGCACAAAAAAAATGTACCAAATCAGAAAAAAATCATATTCAAATTTAATTTGTAACACTTTTTTATAAATATAATTTCATGATGGTAAAGAATTTCACAGATTTAAAACGATTTTTATAAAAATTCACCTACCATCTTCACGACAGAAAGAAAAAAGAAAGGAACAGAAGTATATACGCGCTGTCAAAACTATTATTTGACAGTAGACAACGAAGCGAATTCAAAAAATTATTGGTAGCACTATTACCTTTTTATAGAGTTGCCAGCATGCAATATGTACGTACTGTCACTATATTTTACTATATTTATTTATGAATGATTTTAATATATCTGCGTGTAGATAACTTTTATGCAATTTATGCAATGAATTCCCATTCGAGTATTGGGTCAAACATATTTATTTTATCCTACGTTTAGTTTAGATTTTATTTTATCTTTTCTAATAGTTAAAATAAAATACTTTTATGTGTAAGTTAGGTTAAATTGGAGTGGCAGCCAAATGGCCAAAGCCCACTTGAACTCAAATAATGGCATGTTACTGTATCGAAAGTTTATTAATTATATGAAATAATACGTTTAACTCCTAATCTTTTCTAAAGAAAAGCATATAACTGTTGAAAATATTATATATGAAAATATATTGTTGACTGCTTCTTTTTTATTTAAAGATAGCAGCTTTTTATTTAACAAATCTTATTTGAAATATTTATCATAAACACTTCTTAAAGTCCGGTGAATTTTCGAAATTATTCTTGTATTTGTGACTTGTGGATTTAATTATTTTGAAATGAAAAAAGTTTTAGATTTGTAATGAATTAGATGTTTATAAACTTATTTTGCAGACGTACCTAATTGGAACATACATTTAAAGATGTTAAAAAATGAAGTAAAAACACTGAAAGTATAGATAGTGTGCTTATAGGAATCTTGTTTCCAATAAGAAATTTTTCCAAACTTAAGAACGTCTATTTATTTCGAACTAGAATCACCTTATAATATACAAATTAACATTACAAGTGATGAAAAAAACATTCCTCAATAGTTTATTCAAGTTATTGCAAAAGTTATTCCATAAGCGTGTTAGAATTCTGATTATAAAAGTCCCACTCAAGTGCATAAATAAAACAAATCTGTTTACAATGAGTAATGTATATTACATATGTTAAACATATATCGACTGGTATATTCTAATTTTTTATGTTTTTTTTTTAAACAACTTTGTATTATACAACTGATTTATATACTAAAACACAATTTCAGCACAAAATAAAAATTGCACACGTTAATTAAAACTCTCTCTTAATATCCTTGGAGCGATGTAAAGTTTCGGAACGTAGGGGTGATCTCGAGCGCGATCTGCTGCGTTTGATAGATACAACTGGCTTGACGTCGCGATGTAAAGTTTCGGAACGTAGGGGTGATCTCGAGCGCGATCTGCTGCGTTTGATAGATACAACTGGCTTGACGTCGTCAAATTGAACATTTGCAGCTTCTAATTCATCCATATTATCACGCATATATTCGATCGATGAATTGATCTTACAGTTTTTAAAAGTCGGCGGAGGAGGTGGTTTAGATTCATTTCTTTTTTTAAACTCTTCATCCACAAATTTTCTTCGTTCTGATTTTGTATAACCTTGTGCACGTACTAATAACGTTGGCTTACTTTTAAACTTATTGACTTCATTAGATTCCTCATAATCACAATCATCCCAATTATCACCATCATCTTCTGTGGGTGAGCGTTTTATTGTCTCAACAGGATCAACTCCTCCAGCTGACATAAATTCCGCTATTATTTTTCGATCAGGACAATTTAGTACATGCTCCTACATAACAATCGCATATGAATTTGATTAAAGAAAAAAGTTAAGCTATTTACCTGATAGTCAGACTCCTTCAATACGTGTGTTAAGTTGAATTTGCACGTACGCACCACGACATTTGGATGCTGTCGTTTGCACTTAATTAAATGTTGCTGCAAACGATTTTTTGGCATAGTATGCAAACTGTTATATGGACAAAGTACATATTCTGATGCCCGGTCCATTTGTCAATTATTTTATTTACACAAATTTTACTTATTCTATGTTAAATTTAAATAACTCTGTAATGTTTCAAAAATCTTTGAAGAATTTATAATTTTAAATTAATAAAGTTGAAATACAAATTATAATGGAGACGCCAAATCTTTTTGTTTTTGCTGCTGTCAACGGGTCAAATAGGGCTGCCATATATTTATAATGTCAAATTCATTACGAAAAGTGCACCCACATAACAATAATAAAAAGCATTCATAATAAAATCGTTTCTAATATAAATTTGCATTTGAAAACTTTTTGTTATTTAAAATTTCAGATGCTTTAAAAAAAAAAACCATAAAAAGCATCGTTTCAAAAATCTTTGAGATTTTTTATTGTAATAATAGTACAAAATTTTAATTCAGTTAGTTTTTATAATTACATATTTTTAGTAAAAGAAATATTAATACAACTATTATAGTATAATAAAACATATGATGTTAAAAATCCATAATTAACATAGATAATTAACTGATAGACATATTGTAATAGAATTC